TAGAAATCCCTTTTGCGGAAGCGCCACGGAAGCACCTTAGACGAAAACGTCAGCGGAAGCGCCTGCGGAAGCACAGCTTTGCAAAACGGCCCGCAGTTTTCGCGAAGGACTCGCAAAAGGACTTGCAGAAGGTCCGCAGAAGCTCGCGGGCGGAAGTTTTTTTTAAATCAAATTTGTGGACTCATTTTTACCGGCTCATTTGAGGTTTGCTGTAGCCCACTTACAGGGAGCATCGCAGCGTTCTATGTTGGAATTACATCGTATAGAGGGTCTCAAACTCGAGGGCCTCTAGCCTGTTGTCCGTGCAACACTTTTGGGTGCTGGCTTTGCATACCGGGGCTCAACTGGTAGGATGTTGCAAGTCCACTGGAAAGCACCATGAATGACAAGCTCACAAAATGGACGCCATCATAACACGCTGTGAGACCTTCTGCTGCATAGCTGACGCACCGCCCGACTATGTAGGCTCAAGACCTGAACCCCCAAGCCCAAGCCCTAGACCCAAACCTCTTGACGCCTATCATTTCAACTTGTAAGCGTCTTGTCCGGCGCCATGCGCTGGATCCTGACCTTGCTTTGCATCACGCCCATCCGCGGTGAGCTGGTGGAAGTGACAAGCGCTGTCGACTTCGAAAAGGACTCTGTCGCGAGGGCTTCGTTGCCGTAGTGGCTCTCCAAAGCCTTTGGAGTTTGGAGTTTCAGCTCATGACCATGGAGCCAGGTGCCCTTCCACTGCATTCCCACAACAGTCAGCAACTTTCTGGTGAGGTTACTTGTTGGTTGATGATTTTGCCCATGTTTGCAGAATCGCGAGACCAGACAACGAAGTTGGTTGGAGTGCAAAATTTATTGCTATGAACTCGTATTCCATAACGGATGACTCAACACCTTCTATCGCCTGCAGATCTCACGAGCTGTGCATTGGCGTGTATGTTTTGTGTTGTCCTCCTCCTGGTACTTCGGTGATCTCCAGGAGATCTTTGCGTCAAAGTACGTCTGGGCCGTAGGCTTCGTGAATGGCGAGCGGCCCAACCCAATTTTTGACGCCATGTCCAGAGCTTAGCATCAGAGGAGGATTAGGGTGCAGCTACACTCACGTGTTTTGTCTGAACTTATTCGTGTCTAGGGGTTCTTGTACCATGCGCGTCCTTTGAAGGCTGTTTGTGTTTCTTGTACACGTTGGCATCACGTTTTCATACAGTGCCCAGCGGTGGGTTGCAGCGGCTGCGCCCACTCGCCCTATGCTTTGAGGTCTGATTTAGCTGCTGTGGTACATGCAGTTTGAGGAACTTGGTATTGCAAAACTCAAGAAATTCCCAACATAGGAGGATCAAACATGTGCAAATTGAAGCCAACAAATACTAGCTCTCTCTACGCTTAAACTCAAGAACTGCTCACTGCTGCTTCACATGGCTTGCCTAGATTGGAGAAGCTTCCGGCATTGCTGCCGTCACTTTTGGCGCACTTGGATTTGGGCTTGTGATATTCCGGAATCCAGCGCTAGAAGTGATGTTCCGAGCTTCGAGAGACTTGGAGCTCATTCCTAGAGTCTAGTATGGAACAGCATAAGCTTTCAGGCTTTACCGCTGGGCTTCCCAGGTTTTCAGACTTTGGTTGCCTGGGTCTTGCGGGAATTCTTGTGTGGACCCTGCCAGTCCGGAGCATGTGGAGCATAAGATGGTATAGGTATTCTGGGATCAAAGCACCAGTCACGTGACCTAGAATTAGCGGACCTGGTGTGAACTGGTCAGGCAAAGGACATGTGAATCAGACACATTATTATCATTATTCATATTATGACGACTACGTCTATTATTCTTATTATTATCATTATTCCTCATATTGTTCTTACTATTGTGAATACCCTCACTATTACTCAATCATCATTCTCTTGCAGTCATCTCGGACCTTGAACGGGGCTTGAGAAGTATAGGCCAGATGATGTCGGGGTGCAGCTGCCAGATTGGAAGGGCGTCAAAAGTAAAGGTCCCCAAGCAAAGTTCTGGCATGGCTTGAGCTCACACTTTTGATGCCTTTAAGCCCTGTTGCAAAGTACTTCACGAACCTTCCCCTTGTTTGTGAGAAACCTACATTGCGAGCAGACCCACAAACTAAATCCCCGGCCTTCAGCTTCTTTGTAAGAAACTCCCTGAGCCCCGCATTCCAGACCAGACCCCAACCTGTCAATACCCTCGAGCTTTAGCCTTCAAGCTGAAGCTCCAGCTTAGCATCAGGCAGGTGAAGTTTGCCAAGCTGGACATTACCATACCAGTGTCCCAGCTGAAGCATCAAAGAATCCAACAAGTTGTGTGGAATTCAAGCAACAGCTCCAAGAGGTCAGTCTTTGGGTTCGGTTTAAAGCATCAACGGTGTGGCCTTATGTGGGTTCCAGATGAGCATGCAGAAGCTGCTAGCACCCCTGGTGTTGCCAGGGATGGAGCCACACAAGATTTACAGCAAAATTGCGGACATTCCAGAGCCGTGGGCATGTTCGAGGAAAAGTGAATTCTCATGAAAGATCACCTTCATCGCCTCTATCAAAGAATGTCTGCTGATGTTTAGATCTACGTTCCAGGTAAAAGTGTGATGCTTGTTGCGGCTTTGAGTGTTTTCAAACTTGCAACCTTAGACATGCACCTCCAGACCATAGACCTTTTAACAGTTCAGCAGAAAAGTCAGGCTTCGGGTTTTGTCTCAGGAGTTCTGGCAACTGTTGTTCAATACTCATGTCGACAAGTCTTTCATGCAACATTATAAACAGGTAGTTTTCTTATATCCAAAGCTTGAAACATCATTCCCCTCGAGCACTCCTTGGACTTAGAGATTTTTTTCTTCAAAGAGTCTTGAAACATGCGCACCCCTACTCCAACACTAGAATTGATCACCAACCTAGGCGAATGGCCCTGCCGCCTCGGAGATCAACGTGCGCAGGTTCCCGGACCAAAGTTGTTGTTCTTTGCGAGAGTTTCTTGCCTCTGTGCTCCTAGGGCCTCAAGCAACTGGCGAATGCCCTTTCAACACGAAGCCCGTATGACAGTGAAGCACGGAATTTCGAAGTTCCACGCAGTGATGCATACGATTGCACGCGGCCATGGTTGTGCAATCAGCGTCAGACTTGCATGTCCGAAGCGTTCATGCACCAATTTTTTGTTGATGTGTCATGGGGCCGGGGTATTGGGTGGGTGGACCGAGATCTCCAACAAGGTGCCTCAATGCTGTTTTGGCTATCCACTTGTGCTCACGAAGATTCAGGTGTTGCTCAAGACGTGTTGGCCGCAGGGCACATAAGCAAACTTATGGTATTGGCAATGAGATGTGGCCAGTACCCTTTGGACATCTCTATCCGTAAGTGGGTCTTCAAAGCCCCGCAACTTCCTCTTGAGCAGGAGAACTGCGCCAAAGCTGATGTTGCTCCCCTCGCGGGCTCGATCTGGTGTCGAGGTGAAGGCAGCAGTGTAGGGGCTCTAGCCAAATCGAGGCGCAGCGTCGCTCATCACATCCAACCAAGGGGCACTGTCCATATAGTGCCATGCGTGGTGCAAGCTGTTAATTAGATTTCCAGGATGCTGGGAAAAGGGATGAGGAGTTCTTGTCTACTGTCTACAGCTTTGAGACGACTTGCCACTGGAGACACCTGCCATAGAGTATCCTTGAGCTGTAATCCCGGAGCCTACCTGCCAGGTGATTCCAGATGAAGGGGATCCTGACCCCAACAGCATCTCCCAGGCTGCACTCAAGGTGGGCTTCCGTGCGCTTATTTGGCAGGTGCTTCTTGCTCAGCTTAGAAACTCAACCAACAGCTGGGACGGGACTTGGCTCTGCAACCTCCCGCAGCAGCATCACAGTTGCTTGCAATTTCCTCATTTCTTTGAAGCCTTTTTGCTGCTAGCTGGCTTTTTGCTGTAATCTTTTTTGCTTCTGGCACCTGTGAAGCAGTCCATAGACAAAAAATTGCATTGAAATCATGTTCCTTGTGTTCTCAGGTTCACCCATTCAAGGCTTTACATGATTCCTGAGAGATGCTACCCTACTCCAGCTCTGCCAGAAGTCCTTACTGGCTTTTTGTTCAAACCTCTCTCGGTCTTCGTTTCTTGTTAGAGTTGGCTTTGCATGTCGATCAGCTTGTTCGCTGTCTCTCTCTCTCTTTTTCTCTATTGTCACGCTCACTCTTGCTTGCTTCGTTGCTACCTGTAGCTGTCTCGCCAGGTCTTTTGCCGCAGCTTTTTTGCTATGGCTCCTGCAAGCCAATTCTAGCGGTTGTTAACATGCTGTTGGTCTCTGATGCTGTGGCACTCTGACCGTTCAGCTGGGCCAGCTGTTTCCAAAAGCCGCATTGTGGTAGTTGGGCGCTGACCTGCAGGTGCTCGAGGAGAATGAGCTGGACGACGAAAGCGGGTGATTGTCTCGGCGCTGTGTTGCTAGCAGCCGGACAGTCATGTCACGGTACAGTAACGCTAACATGGGGGCGCATCCGATTCCATCAGAGTGCCGTACCCAACATTGCCTTATTAGCTTACATCATGCCCGTGCCAACGTGCGCTGATGGCATTGCTTGGCTGTTGAGCTTTTGTGCTGACATAGTCTAGGTTTCAGCGCGGAGGCAGTGTCTACTTCTGTGTGTTCATCAAAGACCAGATGTTGTTGCTGTAGGACACAACGGCAGAGGCACTTCAAGCTTCTGAACCCATAACTAAAGCACTGTGCCAGCCCGTATCAGAACTGGGCATTCTTCCGCCCACCTCATCTCAATGTGTTTGAACGTCGGACAGGGATGCAATTTCTGCGCACAGGAGGTTTGTGGTGGAAGGTCGCAATCATACTACAACAGCCCCGGAAGTTTCCCTCGTGGTTCCCGATCAGTTCGCGCCGATTGGGGCCTTCAAGAGGAATCCCAAACTCGTTCTCCTTGTCATCATCTGGGGTACATTGTAATTGCTCTCTGAGATTGATGTTGTTGTGGGTTGAGGCTTCTCCTGAAGATCACGCTTGCCATCGGAGAGCTCTGACAGGTAACAGCCTGTAGCTGGGAAGATGTGATTCTGCCCAACGTTTCTTAACTGCCATTGGATTCAGTCTGGTCGATGTGTATATGGGAGATAGTCAGATAGTGTTGTTGTACTCCCAAGCAGAAACACGTTCAGAGATCTCAACGGACCCGCATCCGATATTGGGATCATCTGCCTTAGCATATTCAATCTACTTGCTAAGCACAGGATTGCCGAACTGGAGTTCCTGAAGCACTGAACGGGTTGTAGGCGGTTGGTGAAAGCCCATTTGGTTTAAGGCTCTGCCCTGAACAGCTGGTTGGCAATGATCTCTGATGTCTCCATCACGGATGGGCGTTTTGCCCACACAGACCACGGCCTGGCAGCCTTGAAACCCACTCTGCACAGGATTTCCGGATCTACGACTAGCCAGTAGGATTCAAGGAGCATTCCTTGCGTAACGGATCTGAGAAGTTCTGGGCAGGATGAGTGCTTGCATGCGATGCGGAGCAAAAAGAAACAGTTGGTGGAATTCCTGGGCAAGAATGAGTTCTGAAGCCAACTTGGAGGCTGCAGGGTGGTACGGGCTTGGCAGATCCGAGTTGTCAGTTTGAAATTGGACCAGCAGAATGGTTATGGCGAGACACGGGAGATGGGGATTTTGGTGGATTTACTTTGTTTCAAAAAATGCTTGGTTGTTTTGTACACGGTGTCACGGTGTCGGTTTTCTGAGATCAACCAGACGGAATGAGCAAAGTGAAGTGTCACCGTACTAGGATCCCCAAACCCTTTATGCAACATCTCGACGAGTGATCCCAGAACCCAAGCGGTGAGCTCGCCACCAAGCCTTCCGCGGGATTGTCCCAGACCACAGCTTCTGATCCCAACAGTCGAAGCACTTCGTGTGATACCTTGCAAGACCTAGCCTAACCCTGATGCGGACAGCTTTTTGTAGTTCGGTCTTAGGACTGGCAGCGCGGCATGCGCGGAGTTCTGTTAGACCCATTTGGCTGACAGGAAGCAGCAGCGGCAGGCGACGGATTTGGCATCTCGGAATGAGATATGTATACAGGCTTGTAAAGGCTGACTGGATAACACATTTTCGCATGCTTTTGGGCAGCTCGAGTTGATGATTCAGAATTGGCGCTAAATTATCCCACGATCAGCGCCGACTCAAAAAGATGTTTTGCATAAGGATCATCCCTCATGTGTGCATACAAGCAGATGAGGCCGGCTCTAAGCAGGATCATGGTATCCGCATTTGTCCATCCGCAATTTGAATGAAGCCGTAGGTTACACAACTCCTTTTTTCATGTTTTGCGGCTGACGCCAAGGTAGCCTGAACTCGCCAAGCGCGGGGAAGGTCGGGACTTTTGGTATGGGTTTGAATACCCGGTTTCGGGCTTCATAGCTTTGAGGATGGGGAGCAATGAACCTCAATTTGGAGTTACAGAAGTGTCACATATGCTTTGCCCAATAGTGTGTCTTCTTTGAAGAGCTGTATTCACAGACGTGCCCTTATGGTTACGATGGCTTACGACTCCCTTCAGCAGGTGCTTCTGCAAGAGATGTTCTGTCGGAATGTTGCTCCGGTCTGCATGAGCAAACTCCCCTACATGCAAAGCTCTTCTTCCTCAGTTTCTTAAGTCCCAGGCTCGCAAAGCGACCTCCCCTGTTCCAGGCCTTGGTTTGCGAACTGCAAGGAGTTAGGGCTAGGGAACTCTGAGGGAGCGGTTTCAGTGGGCAAAGTGTTGTTTGTCCCAGTCAGAACTAAGGACTAAGTTTTTAAACGAGGTGCTGTGAGGAGAGTGGTCTCTGGGGCCGGAGTGACGGGTGGAAATACAAACCCCTTTGCCAATTCTTCCCTTGTACGCATTGGCAACACGTGGTTGTTTGCTTCAACTAAACATCGTGCTAACATCCGCTAGATTTCCTATGAGCGACTGTGGCAGTGCATTATTCTGGCTTTTAACGTGTGCGCCTAAGCAAGGTTCTGTGTTAAGTGCATTTGAGGCGGTTCTGTATACTTTTTAGACCCTCTGGTGTCCGTCGAGGTTCAGGTCTAAAACCGAACTGTTGTATCTGTTCTTGGCGTTCCTGCGTCCTCGCATGCTGGTGGGATCTTGCACTTGCAGAGCCGACTTTCTGCCGTTTTCGGCCCACGTTTCATGGGGCACGAAATTGCTGGAGTCATTTTGGTAATGCTGAACCGCTTTCAGAGTTTTTGGCACGATGCAGTACCTTTGCCTGTCGGCTTTGAAGCTCTAATGCTCTGTATTCTGTGACAGCCACTGTATTGGGTCTTTCGGGCGGTGATGATGACAGCCACAGGGCCAAAGACTTCGGATCCCGATGATTTGAGGGGTCAGTCCTCAACACCCCTCAATTCGTGATATTGTACCAGACCCAACACCGGTAACCCCAGCTCGCGAAGCTCCTGAAGTGCAGGCACGCGGGCCAAAAAGGCAGGGAGAGTCGCTGAGTCCCAGAGTTGAGGATCTCTGAATTATTGAAGACTGCCTGGTGCAACGCGCATTCGAGTTCGAAGACAGGTTCAGCTTGTAGCATCGTCCATTCATAATTCCTGAAGTATTAGAGGCAAAGTAGAGGTAGCACGTGTGGTAAAAGTGCCGTGATGCAACATTGTGATAGCCATGTCTACGCACCAGCCCAGCAACTTGGAGCTCAGGCCCCAAGGATCCAACTTGTCCTTTGCTTTTGAGTTTTCCATACTCCTTGACTATGCATGTGTTCTTCGCGGCTGGCTCTCTGTGCCGCGCAGCGCTTCAGCCCAAAGCCTGAAGTCCCAAACTCCTGAACATCTCCCTGGTGCTGCGACGGGAATGAGTTCCCGACAATATTCCTTCTATGACGTCATAGGCCCCCACATCTCGAACAGAAGGGGAGCGCGGAACCGCAGAACCGCCAGGCACTGACGCCCTTTGCGCGGAGCCTGGCCATGACGACAGCGAGTTCTCCGGACTCGCCTGTGCTTGGTGATTGAGAGTTTCAGGTTAATGTAGCACTCCCTTTTTTCTAGTCCCTCTTACACCTTTGGCAGGGGGACATTGAAAACAGACGACCTCCTTTCACATTCCCATGGTTCGGCTCTGTCGGAAAATGTTCTGAATTCCGCTAGAACCCCAAAACCAAAACACTTTGAAGAGGGTCTTCCAGCGTCAGCCTGAATCGGCAGCTGAAAAACATTCAAGGGGTCTGCTCAATACACAAACTCAGAGCAACCATAGCCCTTCAACAGGTCGTGTGTGTGTGTGTGTGTGTGTTTTTTTCAGTTTCCAGCTTAGGGTTCTGGGTTCGGATTGGGGGAGCCTGGGCTTTTGGACATGTTATGTGTTTGGATTGCTCAGTGCTTCTCGTGGCATATCAAGGCGTGCCCATGAGCCTTCAGGCACGGTGTTTCTGGGACTTAGGCATTGCTGATGTTTTTGGGGCATGCCAGCAAGAGCCCGCAGTGTTTTGGCAGTCTTCCAAGCGCAACAGGGGCTGGGGAGGCCAAAAATCAACATACTTCTCCTTCTAGGGCCCCTGATTCTGCTGATTTAAGACTGCAAAGATGACGCTGTGTATTGTGAAAGTTTCATATTTGATGTCCCAAGCCATTTTCTCAGATTTTGTTCCTGGTGTAGAGACTTGCAAATTGATTGGGCCGCTTGGCATTTGAAAAGAGGTGCAGCTGCGGTTGAAGAATAGATTGCCAAACCTTGAAACCACCCAAGTTCCCGAATAGGCACAGCAAGGGAAAGGTATCGCCGGTAATCATCCGTCGATGGATGGTAGCAAGCACCTTCATGTGCGGTCTGCTGGCTACAAGCTTTGGATGCCGAACTTCTGGCCTACCCGTACAATGTCAAGATTACGATCCTCCCTTCTGCCGATTACAGAAACCGCGCGCAACAAAGCATAGGGATCCAAGTCTCAGAGTCCAAACTTGCGAGGAGCGCCTGGCCGAGAAGATGGTTGTGGGCCTTCAGCAGTGGATCCGTGCATGTTTCGTCCTGGCTGAGTGCTTCATGGATTATATTTGTAACACAAGAGGAAGCCGTGACCTCTTCTCAAATGACGTTGCTAAAATTTCCCATCTGTTGTCTGTCGTGCGTAGTCCTTGCTTGAGAGTTCGAACTTGGTTGCATGTTTCAACGTGTTGTAGGGGTTGCTTCTTGCGCCTCTCGGGTGTTTCAGGTATTCGAGAGGCTTCTGGTAGGGGTTGCTTCTTGCGCCTCTCGGGTGTTTCAGGTATTCGAGAGGCTTCTGGATTTCTGTCAATTCCAGGCAGCTCAGACTGCTGTGTATTCGACCTTCTTAGGGTTTGTGGGTAGGGCGCGCACATGGCGCAGAGTTGGAAATGGCAGTGCTGGCGCTGGTGGCGAAGTTCTGAGCACCTCAAGCTTAGTAGACTGGAACTCAGTGCTCTCTTCTGTTTTCTGTTGTGATTTTGGTTGGGGGTGCTTTCCGTGTTGCATTTTGCTTCACGTTTGCAAAGGCTCATTTCTCAAGCTGAAGGAAGGTCGGACAAAATCCCATGCCATACTTGCGTTTCAAGAGGAGTTTCAGAGAGATGAGAACCAGAATGCAGAATCCTACTAAACCCACGACAGCCCCAAACTGCTTACATCCTTGCAGCCAGGAAACTTGACCACTTGTAAAACACTGAGCTCTCAAGTGTAAACAATTTCTTCAATTTGTCCAGCCATGGTATCCATGGCATGGTGCTGCCGCGGTTCTACGCAATGAGGAGCCAGTGGGACTGATACTGAAAAGGTTATTCGACTTGTGCCTGAGCTCGAATATTCCAGTTTTGGATGGTAGAGTCCTCATCACAACCACAAGGGTTGCATCTGTCGTTCCTTACTTTCTGTCTTTGTCTCTCTTTCCCAAGCCTGTTGCGCAGCAACAAGAGCCATGAAATTATTCAGTCAGTTTCACCCAGATTCTGTGAGAAACTGTTGTGATTTTCCATGCGTGCAGGAGCAAAGTTGATCTCTTGCGCCTCTCGGCTTGGC